AAAACAATATGTAATTATATATGTGTTTTCTGATGGTCTTAGGTGACCCCTGTGAAAAGGTCCTTCGACCCCCAAAGGGGTCACGACCCACAGGTTGAGAACCGCTGTTCTAGGTTATTCTCTGTTTGTCGAATAAATATTTACATTTATAGCACTTTTTAGGAAATGGTGTATACTTTGTCCCAGACTTTTCCCCCCTTGTTTCTTATTTTTGGAAAGTTAATTGATCTAGGAGTCCCTGGCCCATATTTGTTGTCATGGTTTCAGCACACTGTTTGGTTGGAAAAGAAAGCATATCCTTTGATCCGAACCTGATTTCCCATCCAGTGCTAAGTTACTGAGGTCAGCAGGTTGCTGTGGTGTGGACTGTCATACCTGCATTATCTCAAGTGTCACTCAATCAGCAAATATTGATCAAGGGCCTCACCTGAGCTGGGAGTGCAAAGATGGACATGCCTCGGCCCTTTCCTCGAGGAGCAAGCGTCCTAGTGCTCAAACCATGCCAGCTGGGGGTTGACAATGCCAAGGTCTTCTACGGAGACAATCCATGTCTGCCCTCAGGGCGCTGGTGTGGGAGGAGTGCCCGGAGGCAGATGTGTACTTGGGGGCAGTGTTAGCGCATGGACCTGGTCATCTGCTTACAGGGGCATTCGAGTGATGCTACCTGGCCTCGAGCCAACTGGTTTCCTCTCACCACGAGGCAGCCCATGTGAAGCCCGGTGGGGCATGAGGACCCTCAGTACCAGGACCAACTCGGACCGTGTGTCTGCAGCTGCTCGCAAGCCCATCCTTCTCTCTCAATGGAGATGGAGAACAACTGGTCGATATAATTTCTTAAGACCATTTTCAAAATGAGATCATTTTAAGGTTTTTACCTTCCCCACCAAATTGAAGGCTTGGGTCTGGAAGGTGGTTTTGGGAACCCTGGTTGTGAAGGAAAAACCAGCCTTGCCTTCCTGAGGAAGAGGATCCCTCCTGACAGAGGGGCTCCCAGCAGCCGGAGGTGGGTCCCGCCCTGAGGCTGTGTCGCCGGCTCTCCCCAGGCAGAAATTCCCTTAAGAGCCAGCAGTTTCCCAGGTGGAAGGATCTCCTCCCTCCAGCACGGCAGGAGTGAGGACGGAGGCGTGCGCCCCTCAGCCCCACCTTGTTTCATGGAGGAATAGGATGTTTTGATGCCCTTCATCATTGCAGGCGAGGTCTAAATACCGCCAGATAAAATTCCAGGCTCCCGTGTTCCAAACTGGCCGGGCACCTGGTGAAGTGGAACGTGAGCCCTGGCAGATCTGTGGGGAATGAGCCCACCTGTCTGTTTCCACCCAGTCAGTCCTGCTGGGCTGTGGACTCCGGGGGTTCGCAGGTCATTGCAGGAGAAACGGGAAACAGTGGCGTTTGTGGCCATCTCTGGGCCTCCGGTGCCAGTTCAGGGAGGACCTGCCTTTCGCAGAGCAACGTTGTGGTCGCCCCAGAGGGTGTTAGTGGCTACTTTGGGGCATCGTCAGTGGCTGATGGCACCCAACCGCACTGGCACTCTGATCTTGGACTTCCAGCCTTCAGAAATGTGAGGAATAAGTGTGTGCTGTTAAGCTATCCCACCTGTGGTATTTGTTCTAGCAGCCAGAGCTGACTGAGACAGAGCTAATGGGAAGAGGCTCTCTGCGACCTGGGCAGTCAGCTCTTGAGCTGGACTGGACTTTTAGACCAGGAAGGCATGAGGGTGACTTTTGGTGACTCATGAACATGGACCCTTTCAGCAAGGCATCACCGTCCAGTCCGGAGGGGCATTTCCCTATGGTTACAGGCACGAAGGAGAACGCCTGTCCACAGGGTCATCCGCCGGAACCCGAAGCTTGTCGCCTGCACATGATGCAGCCACGTGGACTGTGCAGGCACTGGCCTGACTCCCTGTGACAGACACTGAGCCGGGGCTGCGGATGAAAGAGCCTGGCTGGGATGATACCAGGAAGTGAAGGGAGGAGTGGAATCAGGCAGGGGTCCCCTGGCAGAGGGTCCTTCTGGGGTATAACCGACCGGGTACGGCAGCCGCACCAGCCTCCTGTTTCTCTCCACAGCCCTTTCCACCACCTTCTACGTTCCACACACATTTCCTGTGCCCTGGCGTCTGTCTTCCTGCAGGAAGATAGATTCTGTGAGGACAGGGACTCGGTCCCATCCCCCCAATTGCCGTAGCGTCCAGACCAGGCCTGGCGTGTAGTAGCCCCGTCCGTCAGTAGCTGAACAAATGCGTGACTGTCCCTCTCTGTTGCCATTGCCATTGGTAGTTTTTTTATACTCTTTTCTTAGGTCAGAAGTAGGACTGCTTTGAGAATTACAACTAACAACACAGTATTAAACTTGACTATAATTGTTGGGATTCTAACTCATTTTATAACTTACAGATTATGTAATTTCATGGCATTTTATAGCTGTTCTCTACCAGAGATTATAAACATTTTGTAATTTGTCAAGGTTTTTTTTTGGGGGGGGCGGGGGGGGGTGGATCTGTCTTCTTCACTAATCCCCTAAGGGCAGGAACTACACCCTTATAATTTGGCTCTGTGTCTACTCCATGGATGTTGGGGAGAGACACATGGATGAATACTTATGTAGGGCGACGGGTGGATGTATGCTTGGGTGGTTGGTGGGTGGATGGATGGGGATGACTGGATGGATTGCTAAAGAATAGATAGATGGAGGGATGGAGGATAGATGGATGGATGCATAGATAATTGATTGATTAAATGA